ATCTTTTAATTGCTGATGTTCCCTGACCCAGGGTGGTAGTACCTGTTAGGGTCCCAGCTATGGACAAATAGTTACCCCACCCTAAACTGTGGTGAAAACACTATGAAAGTGTAAAAATACATTTTAATACCAGTAATAAATTAAAAAAAAAAGTATTACCAGCAATAAAAATTTTGTCAGCATTAAATAACCTATTGAGGTTGATATGCTGTAAAACAAAATAAACCAATCTACCATTCATCCATGCTTAGAATATCATTGCTACAGATGGTCCTGTGCCTCTGCTATTTACCTTGAATGCCTTGATAAAATCCAAAGAAGGATCAGCAATATTAACAGTCCTGATCTGGCAGCTCAGTGTGACGAAAGACATGACTTACCTCGAAGTTCAAAATGTGTGTGAACATGTCTTGCCTGCAAACTAACAAGGAAAAGAAATATGGCCGTGATCGAAGACACAATTTATGCACACCGATCTCGTCCAAAACGAGACGACATTCACACACATGCAAATTTCTGCCATATCAGACAGGCATAAAAAGTGAGATGCCAGCAGCACGACTCAGATTGGGAGTCATTCGGTGGACTTTGTGCAAAAAGAGTTGGATGTACAAATTGACTGATGGACAAAGAGGAAGTTGAAATAGGCACGGCTGAGCTTCACGACTGCTTGGTGCAACGGCCGAGAAAAGGAGTCTTGCAGTCCATTTCCTTGAGGTGACTGACAACGAAAGAAGGACAGCTGGTCTGCCGGCGAACGGTGCACTGCACTTTCTGACCCCCCTCTCATCACTTCCTTCTTTTTGTTTACTACAGTCACTTTCCTACCACAGTAAAGTTGCCTCCCTGTGCCTTTTCTATAAATATTTTCATGGTAATTGTTTGGATGAGCTCTTCACTATGGTACCTAGACATTTTTTTTAATTTAAGCACAGTACTAGAATGGCATCATCAAGTTACAGTTGAGCTGGCTAGATGTAACTGTAAATTCTATGCTAACAGTTTCTTTTCTTCCAAACCTGACTTCTGGCTCCATGCTTTCCAGTTAACTTTAATCTGTAAAAATTTAAATGCAATGTCAATCGCTATCTACTGTCCTGATTACTGTTTCCTCTTCCTGCTCATTAATATTTCTGGTCCTTAATTCTTCCACACCCTGTAACCCTTTGTGGCTTTATTGCCTTCCATGGGGTGATATCAATTTTATAAAACAAACAAAAACTTAAACCTATCCCTGAAAAAAATATTACCTCAGTTTGTAAATAAAGTAAACAACATCGAATATGCAATCAAATTTAAATAGAAACAAACTATATGTGCACGTATAAAAAATGCAATTTGTCTAACAGATAAAGCCCATAGATTACTTGTGATACTTTGATTATGTTGTTTGTTTTTCAACAGATGACTTGAAATGATAATGAATTACTTCCAAAATTAATCATGGGTGATGAAGCCTATTTTCACCTGAATGGTTTGGTCAATAAACACAACAGCTGAATTGGTTGCATTCTCTCAGAGTTACAGCTTTCTCTAGTGTGACTTCACAGAGAATAATCAGCCTGTACTACCATACAAAAGGCAATACAGTAATGGTGGCTAGTGTCTGATATCATGAAATAATATGTCAGTCTTGCTGTACAAAACACTAAAAACATTGACACTACTTTGAGGGTGAGGATTTATTTCCCACCCTGCAACCCATTCCTCACAGACAAAACATTGCTAGCCTCTTGCTATTCTGTCGCTACTTTTATGGCAAATGTTCCAATTAGTACCACGCGTTCAGAATTTCACGACTAGAGTCAGCCATGATACATATGCAGGGTTGATTCATCCTCATTCACTTCTAATTCCACTGGTAGGGAAGAAGTTCCATTGATGCATTTTTCCCCGTAACTGTTACTTTGTTGAACAAGACCCTGATCAGTAGTCTCCAGGGTTATCCAATATCTGTCCTAGTCGCCCTCGTCATATCTCTTACTTCCTTCTATAAGAAGAATTAAATTTAAAATTCCCAGCATCCCTTGTTCATACGCATATGTAGACACACCAATATAACAAGTTTAGTCCAATGAAGTCATAAAAGGACAAAATGCTTCACACAAAAACTTTTTCCACTTTCTCATAGATCACTTCCCCATATATGAAACAAACATAAAAACATTTTCTGGTTTCAGTGGGCTGATATAAAATCCAACACCAACAGATATATATATATATATATATATATATATGACCTCCTTTGTAAATCACTATCGGGTCTTAAATGATTATTGCATAATCTTTCATAACTGAATCAATAAGCTGGCAGATCCTCATATGTCGAAACCGATGGGAGAGAGTCTATTATTATTATAATATATACACACATGCTGACAAAAACACAAAAAATGGAAATCACCCTTTCTCGGACCAATCTTAATTTTTTTATTACCCTTCATGCAGAATTCTTTCACTGCCAGTTCAAGAAAGACATCTGGGTCACTAGCACACAAAAAAGAGAATGTCTAATATTGAGAATATTTAACATCGAAAAACATAAGAAAATTTAAAACAAGCAGACCCTTTCTGGTCTCCTGTCATCAGAACTGACAATTTATAGGCCTTGTTATCCTCAGAAACACTAACGCATTTTCTTTACACGCAGTTTCATATTTCATTCTAACCTGAAGAAAATGAAATCAACAGCCATTCGTTGATGGAAGGATATAAAATTTCGACATCATTTCTGAAATTGAAGGTTCCATCTGTCTGGCACTGAACATCATGACTTGTTCAAACTTGGAACATCTTCTGAATGATTAATTATCAAGAATCATGTGAAGGTTAAGATAACAGAAATGGTAAGGACAACATCAAAATAAATAAGAAATTCAAACTGACAGTTTGAAAGCACTGTCTTTATACCTCCCCTCCCTGGTCTTTTGATCAGGAGTAGAAGTTTATCGTATATTTCCTGTTTAGGACTGAGTTTCTAGTTCCTTCTTCTCATTCTCTTTTACTCACAGTAACCCTTTGCATCTTAGTGGCATTATCGCTTTGCTTGGGGTGAAATGATTAGAAATAAATAAAAAAATTCTCAAAGTTCTGATAAACTTTCCTCTTTGCTAACTATTTTGGAACCATCGATAGCTGTGCTAGCATGAAGTCACTAGACATTGTAATTGAGGGCTTGAGCATGCTGGCCGTGTTAAACACGCTAGATAGCAAGCTCTTTCCCAGAAACTGTAACTAAGGTCTGCTCAGCATAGTTGCAGTATAAACTGAAGATGGACACTGTGGGTGCTGAAAAAAAAAAAAAAATCTGCCTGAACAGCATCTGCAATAGAGATTGGTTAGGTGCCATAATAGATAGGTATCCTTGAATACGAGTGACCAGCTATACATATATAGTTGGTCGATCGTTTTTATGCCTTTCTGATAAGGTAATACCCAAAACCCTGTTGTAGACACCTTTATTCAGTAGCCACATAGCTAAACTTCGATTCCTACTGTAATTTTGCTGAGCAAACATTTCTGCAACAAGGCATACAAATTTAAGTGTAATATCAGATCGTCAGTTATGTATCATCATTTTACATCTGAAACTGCGTGATCATAGGTTTTATAATGACAGTTTCTTCTCTAGCACTTCTCACATGTAGAACTCCCTTCCGGCTTCTTGCTTTTCAGTCAACATTGATCTTAAAAATTTTTTTAAATGCAGCATCAATCTTAATCTTTCTTCTATTTCCTGCTTTTATTATTCTCTCTACTATTTTTCTCAGTTTCTTTAACATATTGTTGTGGGGACCTACCTACAAATGGACTCTTCCACACCTATATAATATGGCTACCAACTCTGAGTAGAGGAAATCACCGAGTGAGTGAGTAAATGAGTGAGTGAGTGTGTCAGGACACCAGTGAGAGAAAGTACTCTCCAGTCCACATTTACCTTTGTACTACATTTCTGAGAATATACTATTTAACCTTATATGCGAGTCCGTTTTATCTTTCTATGGTTCTACACCATAACACGTATTCAATAACTCCTTTTATTTTAGGAGCTTTATCACTTTGTCTGGGGTGAAATTATTTAAAAAAAAAAAAAATCTGGTCATTCACATTGTTTTGGTATGAGCAGCTAAGCCAGTGTCCATACTGACTCACCAGATGTTAAATTACAACTGATATAGATCTAGGTATCTCTATAACATCAAGACAGGGTGACTCCACCAACCCTTATCTTTATACGAGTGTCAGCTAGAAAGTTCATAGACTGACCAAGATATAAATGTAAATAGACACACCATTTGGTAGACTTGTAAGTATTTTAGCCTACCAGCTGATGTGTCAACTAACATTTATATCTTGGTGAGTCTATGAACTTTCCAGCCAATCCTAGTGATCCATCCTCACATGACTTTTGGCACATCAAGAATAAGTCTGATTTTTCAGCCACCATTTTGTATCATTCCTTTCATCTCCATCTATCTTTGTCATCACCAATTCTTTCTTTGCTCGTATCATAATTTTTTTTGCAAGCAGGAAAGCCCATCTTGCATCTTAAGATTCTTTTTCTATGAGTTGTGTCCCTTCAAGATTTGGGCTATCGTTGCTCTCCACAACTTCCTGTCCTTTGTAGCTGGTAGTAAGTTTCATCTTTACACCAACTCTCCAAATCTGTTTTGCCATCTCTTTACCCTAGCTCATTAAGTAGGTGACTTACTGTTTCCCTCTGTCCCTTTTGCCTTCAGTAAGTGCTGGGGATCATAGCTCTCCACAATCTCCTGTCCTTTGTAGCTCTTTGTAAATGTTATCTTTTTGTAATCTCTCCAAAATGGACTAGATAGAATCAATTATTATTAGATTCATATGTCTCCTTGATCTTTTGAACAGGAATAGAATTTTATTCAATGTTTGCTCTTCACGATTGGGTTCCTTATAAAGTTTTTTTTTTCTCTTTCATGCTCAATAGACTTGTGTCTTAGTGGCATTATCGCCTTGCCTGGGGCAAATTAAAAAAAAAAAAGAGAGAGAGAAGAAAAGAGAGAGAGAAGAAAAGAAGAGAGAGAGAAGAAGAGAGAGGAGAGGAAAGAGAGGAAAGAGAGAGAGAGGAAGAGAGAGAAAGAGAGAGAGAAGAGAGAGAAGAGAGAGAGAAGAGAGAGCGAGAGAAGAGAGAGAGAAGAGAGAGAGAGAGAGAGAGAGAAGAGAGAGAAGAGCGCGAGAGAGAGAGAAGAGAGAGAGAGAGAGAGAAGAGCGAGAGAGAGAGAAGAGCGAGAGAGACAGAAGAGCGAGAGAGACAGAAGAGCTAGAGAGAGAAGAGTGAGAGAGAGAGAAAAGACATTTCAGCATTACACCGTCTGGACTTCCTCAGGTGTGTATCAATCTGGGTAATCTACAGGGAATTCAAACTGAACACTTTATTAAAAGCATTGGTTTGTGAATTTGGTAACATTGGTTATAAGTTCAATCCCTGGGTCAGGCAGTGTGTACTTGTACTCAGTGAAAATGGGTGAGCAATAACTGAACAGTACTAAATAAAATAAGAATTAGACAATATCTATAGACATGAGCAATGGAAAAAGAACTGTCTATGGCCGTAGATTAAATAAAGGGTTCAATTCAGAATTCCCTGTACATTACCCAGATTGTTTTACATCTGAGGAAGGGTAGATGGTACAACAGCTAAAACGCTGTGATGAAACTGATGTAATGGAATAACCAGTCACCCCCATGAATGATTACACTATAGGTAGTAAGTACCTATAAAGTCAACTTTCTATGAGGGACTCAGGGAAGAGTGAGAGAGAGAGACGATGACAAAAGCACGTCTGACCTTCCAATTAGTGGTACTCTCTACTAGATTGACCTGTGTGTATAACTGTACAGTGTTTTTATATTGTACTGGTTCTGAACAATAAACTTTTCTTCTATTATCCAACTGGTGTCAAGTATTTATTCCCTTAGCATGGAATATGACAAAAACAAAATAAAGATGAGGACAATAGTCAGAATATAGTGTTAAAAATAACTTTTTGCCCCAGAAATTCAGACAAAAATTCCATGTTATATATGCGAATTGATATTACATAGCAGTTCAGAAATCTTTTCTTTGTTCCTAATTAAATTTTCCTGTTTCTTAATACTGTGTTTTTTTTAAGGCATTATGGCTAGTTTCTAATCTCTGAGTATGCCTGTCTGCTAGGTTGGATAGCTAATCCCTGCTGCAGACGCATGCTCAGGCACATTTCTATTTGTTCAACACCCACAGAGCCAACCTGTGGTTAATAGTGCAAGTATGCTGAACAGGCATGTGTTTTATGGAGAGAGTGCAAAATCAGGTGTGAGCATTAGTACATTCAAAACCTTGGTCACGATGACTAGTGACTGTGCGCTAGTGCAAACAGTTTTCTCTACTTTGTTTCATCCAGAAGGCCTTGTTTTCAGACACTTTCCAAGGCTGGGATCATCTCCGGTATTCTCAAGACGTCACCTCCTTCGCAAATTGATGACAGTGAGATTGGAATCTGGGTCTTGTCGTCAGAACTTTCTGACCATTCAGCTACATAAACTGACATAACAATCAACCAGTTGCTATCTTAATCTGGTGAATAAATCTTGAAAATTTAATGAATCATGGAATAATGAGGAGGAGGAGTTTAAGATGAAAACAATTTTTTTCTAATAGATTTCACCTAAAGCAAGGCACGGTAGAGTAATAGATAGCAGCTTGGATTGAGGAATTGGAGAGCCGAGTTCGAATTCCAGTCAAACCCATTACATTCACTTACGTGCTAATATCCTTGGGAAAGGTGTGAATCCTCTTCTCCCTCCAGCTATGGGTAAATAGCAGGACAGACTGGGTTCTATAGCCTTGGAGGGCAACTGGTCTAGGAGAAGGAAAACTCTGAATTTAAAACCTGCAGAGGGTCACTTGGGGACCTTCTGGCACGTAATGCACCAGGTCTCTGTAATCGGCCCTTCAAAAAGTGTGGATGGTCCTGCACGAAACCTTCACCACTATAATCAAATCTCATGTGCTATACATGCGGGTTTGAGGACTGCTTGTGAATTCCAAATTCCCATGAAACTCCAATATTGGAGCCGGCTCAACCCACCCCGGATGAATGCCGTAACAAGACAGAGAAAAAAAAGGAAGGCATTAAAGCCACTAAGACACAAGGTGTGGAAGATTTTGAAAATAGAAACATTACTAAAGAGCAAGAATAGAAAAATAATCAGGATAGCGATTGACATTACATTTAAATTTTTGAAGATTGAAGTTAACTGAAAAGCACGTACCCAGAAGAGAGTTCCACAAACAAGAAGTGTGAGAAAAGAAACTGTTAGCTTACAGTTACCTCTAGTCATCTCAATTATAAATTAATGAAAACTCACAGCCACTCTAGTACTGCACTTAAATTCATAAAGTTTAGGTACAGCAGCAAAGAACTCGCCTGAACAATTACCATGAAAGTATTTATAGAAAAGGCACAGGGAGGTAACTTTACAGCAATGGGAAAGTGACTTATGCTGAGATGACAGGTCAAGACCAATAATATTGCTGATTTTTATTGATTGACTTTATGTCATTAGAAACAATAGCAAGCATCTTGTTCCCTATTTTGCCAAATTTCTTGTTCTCTAGAGAATTAAGAAAAAATTCCGACATACTGACCTTCATAGCAACATTGTTGCTGTCAAGTAGAGAGTCCGATACCTCGATGTGTCCAACTTCAATTAGTTCTTGTAGGATAATTCGAAATGTTCCAATCAATCTAGAATGAAAATAGAAATACAGTCAGATATATTATTTGAAATTAAATAAAAAAAAAAAAGCTCTTAATAAATAACTCATTTATATTCCATGGTTTATTTTATAGGTTATTTGAAAGCAGTAAATAGTTTTAAATTCTAATAAATTTTTATTGGAGATACTGATTTAATGATACAAGTTTTATTAATTAACCCCTATCTGGGGGAGAAAAGGGCGGATTCATACTTTTCCTAAAGATATTTGCATGTAAGTGAATATAAGAAACCCAGCTGGAATTGAAACTCTGGTCTCCTATTAACAATTCGGAGCCATTATCCATCACACCACCTGCACATCTAAGCTTACAACACCTGGTATTCCCAGGTAGGTACTGTTAGTCAATAAGTATAAACAACACATATGAGAGAAAGAGTGAGAGGTGGGTAGTTGATGAGAAGTACAAAATAAGTATATAAGAAATATGTGTGTGTGTGTGTGTCTCGTATATGTCCAAGTACTGATCAGCACTATTTCATTTAAAGGAATAACAGCACTTGTGGCCTGAAGATCCTTTGTGATGAAAAGAAATTAGCCAGTAAACCACCGTGCAAGTTTCTTTAAATAACCTCCCTCGCTCTCAAGACCTGTAGACGCCACTGAGCAATATTGAGGGCACAACTCAATACAACACTACGCACTGTTATTATGGTTCCAGTTGCAAGTATGTTTTTACAGGATGAGGTTGCTTGTCCCCATGTCTAACCAGTTTTGAATTCAGATTTCTTTTCTTAGGAAAAAGAGCCCAGCCTGCTCTACTATTTAACCCATAGCTGGTGGGGAGATGGATTCATACTATCACTGCCATATTCTCTGCAACTGTCACTGCAATTCATATCTATGTGCTGGTTTATCATGACATCAAAGATAACTCCAACCTCTACCCTCTGAGCTTACATTTCTATTTACCATAGATCTGACATTTAATTGGTTAATCAAAACATACCACAAGTCTATATTTTGATTCTGACCTTGGATTCCTCCTTTTAACTTTCCGAAAAGAGGTAAAAATTTGTTTTTAAATTTCCTTAAAAATCATTTTATCACCAGTTACTTACCATTGCCTGAAGAAGTACAATCATCGTATTGAAACATGAAAGCTTTTGTGTAGCGATTTCAATGTTTTCATTATGTCTTATAATAATAAAATATATATGTATGAAGGTAAAAGACAATAGGAAAACTGTATTATTAGCTAAGGCATTTCATCCAATGTGGACTTTTTCAAGGCAAAAATGAAATGAATTTATTGAAAACAAAGTAACTATTAACAACAAACAAAATGTCCTTAGCAACAAGAAGAATTTAGAAGACACTATTGTATTCATCTTGTCAGCTGAAAATTACATTAAGTAAATTTTAGATTCTTCTAGTTGCTAAGGACATTTTTTTTTAATAATTACTTCGTTTTCAATAAATTAATTTTGTTTTTGCCTTGAAAACGTCTACATTGAGTGAAACACATTGGCTAATAACAGTTTTCCTATTGTCTTTTACTTTTATACATATTGTCTTTTTCTACAAGTAAACTGAGAAATTTTCCATATATATATATATATATATATATATATATATATATATATATATATGTGTGTGTGTGTGTGTGTGTATGTATGTATGTATGTTCCTTAAAAATAGCCAAAAGGGTACTTTTGTTTTTTGTTTTTACTGTATTGTATGCATCCAAGAGATTTCTTCTTTTTTTGGAAGTTAGTGTGCACAGAAATTCTGCAAATGATTATTCGTTCAGAGCACTTTTTATCAGGTATTCGGTAAATAAAAATGTATCTTCCTCTCAGTGACTTACATACTATTTTTTACAATGGCACAGTCAAAATAATTGAATATGTCTAATGTAATGTTCATTATTAAAGAGATGGTTTATATATTTGAGAATTTTGGAGCATTAGAACAATATTTTTCTGAAGTTGTCCAAGACTGAATGAATTGATAAAATGCAAAAAAAAAGGGTAAGTCAGCAATCGTACAGAAATAATGATAAGTAATTTATCTCAAAACAGATATCAATCACCCCAGTAAATAGAAAAAGGTGAAAGACAAGGATGTGTCTTCTCAGTGGCCTTATTCAAAATTGACAGGGAGACAGCCCTTACAAAATTAGAAGTCCTGAAAAATTCACTTTTGGCAGTGACCATCTTAACATTAGATATTAGATGATACAGTGTTGATTGCAGAAACTGAAAGAAAACTGCATGAACTCCTACAGAAGGCAGTAAAGGAAAGCAAGAAGAAAGGACTAGTTATCAAATGCAAAAAAGACAAGATAAATAATGCAATATGTTATTGGAGGCACCAAAATTAAGCATGTATGAAATAAATATCTATGAAGTGTTTAACAAAGGATGTAAAATGTGGTACTGAAATCCAGAGACATTGGAATATCAAAAAATATCCTCCAAAAGCCAAACCAAGTATTAAAAAATAGGAAAATACTGTTAGAAACAAAGAATAGAATATTGAACTATCAATACTGGACCTTCTATATGGCAGTGAATGCTGGACAATCTCCTCACAGAGGAAGAATGGACTTAAGGCCAAAGAAAGATGGTTCTACAGAAGGATATTGAGGAGGAAATTTTAAAGAAATCATAAGCAAAAGGATGCTTATATTTAGCATTGGAAGGAGTTGAAATTTCTAGGCTACATAATGAGGAAAGTGTGCTTGGGAAATGTGACACTCACATGGCATAATTGCGGAAGACAGGAAAGCATTGAATAACCTACCCAATGAGCCTATGTAAATGGTTGGCAGAACACCGAGTAAGAGAAACAGGGAAAAGACAAACCTTACTAAGAACTACAAAGGACAGGAACATGTGAAGAGCCATGATTGCTCACGTCCTAAAGGGAAACCTCACAAATTATTCATTACTTGGGGTGAAGTGATTAAGAAAATATGTACATGTAGAATCCCTGTGCTTTTTCTATGAATACTTTAATGGTAATTGTTTTGATGAGCTTTCCTCTTTGGTACCTAGACTTTATGAATTTAAGCAGAGTACTAGATTGGCAGCAAGGCCTTGTCATTTTAGAGTTGAAATGGCTGCTAGACGTAACAATAAGTTCTATGCTAACAGTTTGTTTTATTGAACTTATTCGTGAAACTTTTCCAATTTATGGCTTCAAATTTGATCTTCAAAAATTTAAATGCGATGCCAAACGTTATTTTCCATCTTTTTATTTCTTGTCCTTAATATTATTTTTATATTCTCTAACACTCAGCAACCCATTGTATCTTAGTGGTATTATTGCTTTGCTTGGGTTGAAATACACACACACACATATATATATATATATTCGAAAATTATAACAAATATGTTATAAAATCACTACAAAAATAGCCATTTTGTTTCAACATTTCTGGTGTCTTATCAAGTGATGATGTTGAACAGAGGGTTGAAACAAAATGGCTATTTTTGTAGTGATTTTATAACATATGTTATAATTTTCAAATTATATTAGCTCTACTCTGTATTGAGAACTCTTAAGAATAGTAATTGTTGGTTATTGGAATTTATTCCATATACACCAATCCTATACTTGGTTTTATATATATATATATATATATATATATATATATATATGAAGAAATATAGTTTTAAGGTGTGCTATATTTATGGGATAAAGTGTTCAATATCAGAGACAGACTAAATATAAAAAGTGAATATTGAAGTCAACACTCAGAGGCAAGAGTCTGTTTCATGTTAGACATAATCGTCAGGTTGCCTGACGATTGTGTCTAGCATGAAACAGCCTCTTGCCTCTGAGTGTTGACTTCAATGCTCAATATATATGAGCACAAAATAAAGCCTTATTAACAATAGTTTCCATAATTATGTTGTAGACAATCAACCAATTTTCACTCACACAACAATTTTATATAAATCCATGTTCTGATAGTATTAATATTCTATCGAAATCAAATGCACCACAATTGAAATAAAAAAAGATGCATTTAACCTAATGATACAAACATCTTTACAGTCAAAGTTTTATTACAAAAATTTAAAACCAGTAACTTAATTATCAAAGTTAGTATCTCAACTCACTAAACCTGTATACAGAATGAATGTTGTTTATGAATTTGTCCAATCGGTCATTGCATCCTGTAAATAATGAACAAAATATATCTTATAAATGTTACACAACAACCACTCTTTCATGCCAGTTCACATGACATTTATCTGAACAAAGCACAATGAGACAGCTCATTAATCATCATTATAAGTACTATAATAATATTAGACAACTCCTGTGTAACAATATTAAAATACTCCAAGAATGCAACTGCATAAACAAAGATTGAAAATTCTTGAAGCCATTTGCCTTCAACAAATGCAGCCATCCATTAATAAAAGTAAAACTAGTTTAAGGTCCTGTATTCTTGAATGCATATAAAAAATTACATGTTACTAATATGACTTACTGTGTTCTAAATGAATCTGTAGAAAAATGAAATAAAATCGATAAAATAAGAAAAAAAGAAAAAGCAAAACACTTTCTTATGATGCTAAGAGTAAAAGAACTGGATTATCCAACTTGGTTTCATAAAAATCGCCATTAGGCAGCACTGGTTAAATTTCTAAAATGAGACTTTTCCACCTCATGTTCTGCCCCTCTCTCCAAAATGTCGAACTATGTGTTTAATTTCCCTGGTTCACTGATGACCGAAAGCTTTTTCTAGCAACATCGTTCAAATAGGCCTTGCAGCCCTAATCATGAAGCAAGTAATTTTTACGTTCCAACTCGTTGCTAGGCTGACTTCAGTTGACACTTCTGAACCAGACAAGAAAACAAACATACCCAAGAGACATTGAGAATTTTGTTTCATTACAATCACCATAAAAACAATAGTCTGTTGTAAAAATATTCTGCTTCTTTATTTATCATGTGATAACACTCACATCTAAAATATGAACAAACATTCAATCTTTTAAATTCCAT